CCCCGCCCCTGTTGTTGGCTTAATCGAGTCTTTTTTAGAACACACAGGCTGAAGGGGGAGTGTTTGGTTTGGGGAGTTTTTTCTCACACGGTAGGGAAGGGGGAGATGTAACAGGAACCAGGCTCAGGGTGGGGAGATGTCCCTCCCCAGGGACGTTCATTGTACTGATTTCTAGGAAACTTTTTGTTGTTGGTGGTGGTGGCAAAGAGATTTACAAATTGGCTCAAAACCTTTGTACGTGGAAGGTGAAGAACATTTTGAATTTACTTTGGTTTCTTTGTTAAGAACCTAAAACCTAGAGCAGTGGTTTTTACCAGAGAACATCTGTGCCTTTCAGGGAGACTTGGCAACGTCTGCAGACATGTCTGGTTGTCACAACTGGGGTTGCGGGGTGGGTACTCCCAGCATCTAATAGGTAGAGACCAGAGATGCTGTTAAACACCCTGCAATACACAGCGCACTGCCTCTGCCCACCGGCAGCAGAGCATCATTTGGCCCACAGGATGGCGAGACACCTACGCCACTCTGACTTCAGGCTGCCCAGGTCCTTTCCTTGTTTTCTTAGGAGAAAGACCTTGATTCCAACGTGTTTACTTTTCAGAACCTTGTTTGAAGTTTCTTTAAACCCCATGACTACTTTTTTCCCCCTTTCTTAAATTTCTGCTGTTTTCCTTTTTCCTGATTATAAAATCACTATGTGTTCATTGTAGACAATAGCAAACGGTGGAAAAGCGTAAGGAACCAGGAGAAAGAATCTCCTTCCACTCTCCCACCGCCCAGAGAGGGGGGACTACACCGGCATTTGGCCTCTTTCCCACCTGTCTCTCTCTTCATCAATTCCCCTGACCCTTTTATTTTTTCTTTAACATCGAGTCGTAAGGGCCTCCCTTTATTGCAAAAATCTGTTGTAAACACCACATAGCCGCGGAGAGTCCATGTACAGATGGCACATTCCTGTCGGCTGTCCTCAGTGGCCGTATTTCTTCCTCTTTTGAGTATGAAGAACCTTCAGGGCCCAGTGGCGGGAGGGGGGTCGGGGGATGCAGCCGGTCACTTCCGTTTTTGGTCAAAAGCGAGGCGTTGACTCTGCGCATAGCAGTGTCTTGGATCTTTCCCTTGAGGGAGGCTTGCCCGCTGGCCCTTGCCCAAGCGGAGTTCCAGAACCTTCTTGAGTAAAGGCAGTATTGCTGGAATAAACAGTGAGCCTGTGACGTGCCCACTCTGAGGGCCAGCAGCTGGCAGAGCACACAGCCCAGGCAGCACTTAAGTGGCTCAAGGGCAGGAACGCTGCCTGGCTTATCGGCATCACAGCCCCGCACCTGGTGCTGAGACACACTCAAGGAACAGTCATTGAATTACAGGTTTCTTGTCTTTGCTTAAAAATTGCCAAGAATTACTATTTCATAGCATCATTGGTTTTCCCCTGCCCTGCTTTATTTTTCTCCGTGGTGCTTATCACTACCTGACACTAAATTCTGGATCTGCTAGTTTGTTTACTGTGTCTCTCTCCCCCTTGGAATTTAAGCTCCATGAGGGTTTTTTGGTCACCTCTGGATGGAGAGCAGTGACCGTCATGTAGTAGACACACAATAAATGTGCTGAGTGAATGAATGACTCCTTGATTGTTGAAGTCATGCCCTGTGTATGCGGTCTGTATATGTCTCTGGGCTTTGGACATTAACACAGCTGCATAAATATCCCAGATGCGAAAACAAGATAAGCTCATTTTTTACCCATTTCTCTCAGGGCTGGTTTAGAAACCAGCTTTGTGGGTTCGGGCTGTGAGATGGCACCACTATGGCTGATTTGGTGCCCCTTCTGGCATTGGAAGGTCAGCTCTGCTAGTTCACTTGGCCATTTATTTGCTACTCTGTCATCTGCCCACCCAGTGTACACAGCATGGCTGTGGTCTGCTTGGTACTTGAGCCACTGTGTGGAATGGTGCCCCTTGAGTTATGCAGTGCCCATCCTGTAGAAACTCACATGGCCATCTGATGTACTGGTGCTGGGAGTAGAGTTCACAGTTTGATGGGGGACAAACACCAAGTAATCAAGGACATCATGGTGTTGGAGGCAAGCATGGGAGGCTGTGAGAACCCCGAGAAGGGATCCCCATCCTAGCCTGGGAGGGTCCAAGGTGATACCCGAGCCAAGTGACCTTCTCTTCCTCATTTCTCGGCTCCATGTGTAGCCGGCTCAGAGTCAGGTTCTTGTGTCCTCTAAGAACTAGAGGCTGTGAGCCGGAGCTGAGGCCTTGCCTCCTCCCAGCAGTCATGTCCACCCTGCCACTCTGTTTACTTAATTTCTTTCCCTCTGCTGCCGTGAAACAGCTGTCAAGACAGAAGGTTGATCTGCTCTTTAATGTTTAAACTCTTACGGTTATAGCTTTTAGAGAAAGGGGTGGCCATGTGCAATGTGCTTGTCAGGGATACCCCCAAACGTGGGGTGGGGAAACTGAGGTTCAAACACAGCAGGTCCCTCAGCCATCCTTGCCCTTCATCCTTAAGAGAACACACCCATCTGCACCCAAACGTGTGGGGCGTTTACATGGGGACTTAGGGAGGGAGTTTTGCCTCAGTTCTTAACACTTTCTTGGATCTTGCGAATTCCCAGGCAGCGATGTGGTGGACGAGGAGGGGGCAGGTCAGTGGCACATGGGCTGGACTTGCCTGTGCTTGCAGCATGAGCTTGCAGACAGGCTTGTGCTATTGCTGCGCGCCTGGGAAGGGGCCTGGAACGTCTGCTCTTCCATCCCCTTCCATTGTCCATTCAACAAACATTTATTGGGCACCTACTATGTTCCAGGCTTTCTGGTGGGCACTTAGGGATATCATTCAAGTCTCCAGCTCTGCCACTCATCAGCTGGGAGACCTTGGCTAAGGTTTACTGTCTCCTTGGGCAAATGACCGTGACTAGCACGCCTTGAAGGAAATGCTGGTTGTGAAACACCTGGCACGTGGTAGATGGACGGTGAGTGGTAACAGTTTGGCTGTTACTGATTATTTTATTATTAAGCTGCTCAGACCTCCTGGGCATGGTCAAGACCTTGGCAGGCCACAACAGTGCGGGTGATGACGCCTGATGGAGCAACTGCAGGTTGTATCCCAGAGGAGGGATGTCTTCCAGCAGAATTTCAGCCGGCAAGGCTGCCCTCTCTCCCTCTGGGGCTGTAAAGGCCTGAACTGGTCGCTGGAGCGGACCTGTCCCTCCTGCCTTCTGTAACTAGCATTGTGGTTGAAGGTCCTGGCAGAGGGCCCTTTTGCAGCCACAGAAGCCAACTCCAGCCACTTAACAACAAGGGTGTTTACTGAAGGACACCAGGTAGCTCAGAAACCAAAGGCAGCGGGACTCAGGAGATGGGAACTCTGGGAATGAGACTTCTTTGGGACAGATCAGTTGGAACTATCTTTGGTTCTTGTGGGACCAATGATGGTTCAATGTCCTGGGAGAGGGGTTCTGATGGGCTGACCTTGGGCAACCCCCTTTCCTTGGCTGGGGGAGCCTGGGGCACCCTCACAGGCCTGCCAGGACCATAGGAAGAGGGGGAGGGCTAATCCCCTGTGAAGAAGGTGGACTATAGTAGACCAACACACGTTCACATTGCCCCTCTTAGACCCTCAGTCCCTCCTCTTGCAGAGGAGAATTTTCCAGCTGCCCCATTTGGTGTATCAACCTGTGGGCTAATTGGGTTGAGAAGGGGCGGCAGCCATAGGAGGCCACTGGGGGGTTGCCGCTGAGTGAGGAGCAGGAGGAGAAGACAAGGTTGAGGCTTACAGAGGGCGGCCTGGCAGCCCAGTGGCACAGCCGGGCTCTCTGAAGCACCCGCCCACAGGACAGGTGTCTTTGGGAGTGTGTTCAGGCGTCCCCACCCCTGCACAGAGAACGACTGTCAAGGCTGCAACTGGGCCCGGATGTTGTGCATGTGTTATATGTGCTGGCTGTGTGTGGCTGCATGGGAAGTCCTGCCTGTTATCACTCTTCTTTTTTGTTTGGCTTAGTTTTTTTTAATTAAAAACAAAAATGCTGACATTAAAGGAAATGTTTAAGGCAGTGATTCTCAATCCTGGCTGTGGGCCCGAATTATCTGTGGACCACGTTTAAAATGCAGGTAAGGATGAGCACCACAGTGCATCTTATACTTGCTGTTCACCACGCACAGCTCATCATCTTCCTGCGTATGAGGGAAAGTGCTGTCGTTACTCCCACTTTGCAGATATGGTAGTTGAGGCTTAGAGGTTCATTACTTCCCCAGTACCCACACCTGGAAGTGAGAGAACCCTCCCCGCCTGACTCTGCTCTGACTCAGCACGGGGACCCGTCTCTCTGCAGAGTCACCACAGGCACCTCAGCTGCACCTTGGGCATCCCCCATGGTTGGTTCACAGCCAAGACTGAGGATCATGGACGAACTCCTTCCCTTTCCTCAGGAATGATCCCTAGCTTTCTGTCCTCTTTGTCTTCCTGTGGCTCTCACCCCAGAGAGCCTGCCTTTCTGGATCCTGCTTCTATGCATGTCACCTGAGCATGTTCCCAGGGTCCCCCTGGCTGCATATTTATCCCCTTTTGTGACTTCTCTCCTGCATCCCTCCCCTCCGCTTTTGGGGTCATCCCTTTAGGGCCCTACATCATGCTTGTTTCTTACACTCTCTCACAGCACCAGAGGGGAAGGAAATCGGAGTGGAGTTGGGGGTAATCAGTGTCTCACTGAGTAGTTGGGAGGATTAAAGGGGATGATGTATTTCAGCACAGCCGCCCCACTCCCTTGGTAAACATTAGCCACCACCGTCGAAGCTACAGTGGTTAGAGTTGACAGGTGGGTACTTCCTGGGATTTTGTGGGTATCCGGCTGGTATCCATGGTGGCCATATCAGTTAAGATACTTCCTTACTGTTGGGGAAGCAGCCACTGGCCCAGGTACCCCTTACCCCGGACCTTTTGGACCACCCTATGATTAGGCAACCAAAGGGTTAACTCCTGGCATGACAGGGTACCCCTGGGACTTGATTGACTGGTGCCCCTGTCAAAACAGGTTATTTATTTTGAGTATCACCCCTGCTTGGGGCCCAGAGGGCTGTTCCCTTTCCCCCTGCCTAGTTCCTCACATCCTGGCCCCATTAACCAAGCTTCATGCAGCAGGGGGGCAATCAGCTGAATCTCACTGTACCCGTTGCTGCTGGAACAGGGCATCTGCTCAGGCCCAACACCCTCAGTTAATGGGGCCCTCGAAATGGTTGCAAAGCATCGCCCCTGCCCCAAGGGAACTTGCAAACTAGTAGTTAGCTTCTGCATCCCAGCCGAGAGCCTGCTTGTGGCCTCAGCAAAGCCGATCTTGCTCTCTTGCTTTTTGAGCTTCCTGGAGGCCAGGTTTTCTGCCATCCCCCCCTCCCCCCCCCGCCAAGTGACAGGTTTTGTCTTTGGTTTTGGCATTGGCTCTTAAAACTATGATTCCCCCTTTCTCTGTCTTCTGCCAGGATTAGCAGGCATGAGCGGTCCAGGGAAAGAGACGAAGCAAATGGAGAATGGCATGGTGGTGATGGATGCTGCAAGGAAGCAAGTGCAGAGGTAAGAGCGAGGGAGACACCACGCTTCTGCCCGCCTGGGGGAGGGAGGACATACAGGGTGCCAGTGGCTTGACCTACCAAAAAAAGCCTTCAGCTCTCCAGGGTTGTGAAAATGCAGGCTTTCTGCCTCCCCCCTCCCCCCGAACCGTCTAGGAACCTCATTTTCTGGAGCACAGAGGCCTGAAGGGGGAGCCTGGCACTGTTCCTGCCAGGTGGCACAATCCACACAGGCCTCGTGATTTAACCATCAGTCTGCACTTCTGGCATCAAGTTCCCCACATGGTGTGGATTTTTGTTCAGTTCCCTCCGAGGGGCCTGGAAGGCTGAGGCTTTAAGAACCAGCATTCAGTTCAAAGCAGTCACAGTGATAGTGAGCTCTGTGTTTTATGCACCATTAGGACCCAGGTGTAGTGCCAAGTCCTGTGCAGTCTATTGGACCAGGAGGTAGTTACTGTCGTCTTCCCATTTTACAGATGAGCAAACGGAGAGCTCCCCACAGGTTATACAGCTAGAAAGAAGCTGAGCTGGGATTTGAACCCAAGTCAGGCCTCTGAGTCACTGCTCCTAAGTTCTCTGCTTTGCTACTTTAAAGGAGGTGGCATTTCGTGAGGTCATTGGGTATTTGGAGAAGCCACATTCTGTGGGCTTTGCTGGTTAACCTCTCTGTGCCTCAGTTTTCTCAGCTGCCAAATGGGGTGTGTGGTGGGTCTGCCACATAGGGTTGTAGTATGGCCTACATGATATGTTACCTGTGACGCACTCAGGATCGCGCCTGTGCCACCAGCACTCAGTAAACAGCACTGAGCTATTATCTGGCGAGCTGGGGCTGCCCGAACTTCTTTTGGGTGTGGGGAGATTTCACAGAAATGGAGCTGGGAAGGAGACTGGTATGAGCAGCTCTGCCCGCAGAACACTGGCACAGTTCCCTCCTGGACTCAGATTTTTATCATACGGACAAGTGGAAGGATTTCCTTCTCTGTCGGTGCCTCTGTTGAGGGGGGGAGCTGGGCATATGTGTGTAAAGCACTTAGAGCACACCCAGAGTCACACCTGGGATGTGGGGGTGCTGCCAGGTTCAGGCAGGCGGCCGGCATAACCAGTCACGGTGACTGCTATCTAAAATTTTGCTGAAGTAGCCGAGATGAGGCAGTGCCTGCGGGTGGTCCTAGGAACGGGGGCAGGTGATGGTGGGGCGCAAACCAGAGAGAGCCATGGGCAGACTGAGCAGACACAGAACACTGGGGTGTTTGTTTTCTCTTGCTACATAACACATCACTACAAACTTGATGGTTTGTCATCTCATGGTTTCTGCGTCTTGGGGGGTCCAGGTGTGGCTCAGCTGGCTCCTCTGCTTATTGTGTCTCACAGGCTGTAGCCAAGGTGTCGGCCAGGCTGGGGTCCTATCTGAAGGCTCAGCTGGGCATGGACCACTTCCATGCTTGTGCAGCTGTTGGCAGGACTCACTTCCTCGTTTCCTAACTGGCCGCAGGCTGGACCAAGATGGGTCACATGCCATCACTTTTGCTCATTTGGGTCTAAGCCATGGCTGAGAGAGGGGATATCCCCTTCCTGTGTTCTCACGCACATGTACACACGCACACTCTCTCTCTCTCACCATGTCGTTCCCCAAGGTTTAAGCCCCCAGGGAACAGGACTGCCTCAGGGAGGAAAGAGTTTGGGGTCACATGATCCGTGATAATCTGTGATGGTCTGCAAAAGGTAATGACCACTGGTGGGCAAAAATGCTGTCTGAAGAACGCCTGCGTAAAGGAACACTTCCTTTCAGGGGGCCCTGGCAAGGCCCTTCCCCTCTCTGGGTTGCATTTGTAAAATCGGGAGGTTGAACTGGGTCGGTGCTTTGCTGGGACTGCCATCCCTGCCCAAGGCTGACACCCGTGTGCCTTGCTTTCCCCAGGCAGCTCAGCAACTCCTCCTCCTACAGCGGGGATGTCAGCCGGCACCGCAACAGCACTGCCGAGCTGCAGAAGGCCGGGGCCAAGGAGGAGGAGACCTGGAAGATGATGGAGGCAGACAAGGCCCAAACGGGGCAGGTAAGGGCAGGCTGCCTCCTGAGGGCGCTGGCTGGCGCTGGCGGCCGTCAGTGTGTGCCGGCCCGTGCAGTGCCGCCTCGTTTATGTCAACTCGTGTCTTCCTCGCAGGGGCCTATATAAATACTGTTTTAAGTGCTGGAAACCGAGGCCTGAGAGCCTAGGGGACTCACCCAAGATTGCAGCTGAGTGGCGGAGCTGGGATTCAAACTCTGCAGTCCAACTCCAGGGCTGTCATGTATAGTCTCTGCTGTCCTTATTGCCGTCTCCTGTGAGCCCCTGGGGGCCTCTCTAGCACTAGGCAACCTGGTTGATTTGATTCAGGGCTTCCTACCATGTGGGGTTCCATTTACGTGGGATGGTTTCAGGCTGTTGCAGACACAATGCTAAAAAATACTAAATTATATAGTTAGAAAAAAAGTTTTCATTTCTCTTTCAGCCCTTACAACATCAGTGAGAAAGTTGGTTGCTAGCTCGTTTTTAATACCTAACTGTCTTAGTCCATTCAGGATATTTGCTATAACAAAGTAGGCTGGGTGGCTGTGAAACAATACACATTTATTGGTCACACCTCTGAAGGCTTAAGTGCAGGATCCAGGCATCAGCAAATCTGTGTCTATCGAGAACCCTCTCCCTTGTTCATAGACGGCTGCCTTCTCACTGTCCTCAGCTGGCAGAGGGGCTGGGGAGCTCTCTGAGGCCTCCTTTTGTAAGGGGACTAATACCATTCACTTTCATGAGACTAATCACCTACCTCTTGAAGGCCCCAACTCCTAACGCCATCACATTGGGGGTTAGGATTTCAACATAGGAATTTTGGGGCGGGGGGGGGCACAAACATTCAGTCTCTAGCACTAACAGCTGCTAACTTTTCTTTGCAACAAGCACTGGGTTTAAAATTCTACAATCATCCATATTGGCTGAGTGTCAGTAATCAATTTTCCACTTGTGGCTGTGATCCAAAGTTGTTGTTTTTTTAAATCCTCACCTGAGGATATGTGTTTCATTGATTCTAGAGAGAAAGGAAGGGAGAGAGAGAGAGAGGAACACCCATCAGTTGCCTCACTCATGTGCCCCGACTGGGGGTCAAATCTACAACCTGGATATGTGCCCTGACCAGGAACTGAACCTGCAGCCCTGTGGTGCATGGACAGTGCTCCAGCCACTGAGCATCACCAGCCAGGGCCAAAGTTTATTTTTAAAAATAAATGTTTTTTTTTTAAAGAACAGGGAATAGAGTTTTTTAAATAAGTAAAAAGTAAGTACACAAAGAAAAACCACCAACCCATGAAAGGTGGTTCGGCACCATGTGAGGGTGGGGCACTCTTCTCAGATCTACCGGGATGCATCCAGAATCTCCTGGGACCCTCTGTTCCCAGCCCCTCCCCTCACCTGCCATCACAACTGTGGCTGGGGGCACAGGTGACTGGAGTGTGTCCTGTCCCCTGTCCCCTTGCTTTTACTGACCCTCCAAGGAGCCAGAGAAATGACCCCGAATCAAGGACATGGGGAGGAAGGACCAGAGATGCCAGGCCTGTTGAATCCCCATTGAATCCCATACCCCAGAGGAGATGGGTCCCAGTATTACCTGCATTTTATATACAAAGGAAACAGAAATGGGGGAAGGTGGTTGTAAGTTGCTGAAGTCAGACCAAGAGTGGAGCTGGGTTCAGCTCATGTGGCCGCTTCTGCCTCCCACGTCCCACTGCTCAGGGAATAGAGTGAAGGAGTCCCTGAGTCCCGCAGGGTAATTCAGGGCCAGCAGGCAGCTCAGCTATGTGAGGAATCAAGTGGTGCAACGAGCATGTTCTTTATTCTGACACCCTCTTCGCACTATTTGAGTTTGAAGAACAGGGACTTGAAACTGAAAAACAGAAGCACTCAGTTATACATCAGACCTCTCATCTTTCACCTGCTACCTTTCAACCGGCCTGTAATTCAGACATGACCTTTGTGACCCAAAATTCAGCCTGGAAAGCTGGGCAGGACTGACAGTGCACAGACACAGGAAAGATACCTGGAGCTTGTTGAAACCAAGCCTAGCAGGGCAGAGACCTGGACTTTGCTGCTGACTTTGTCAAAGAACTTGGAGGGCGGGTGTCATAAACATGAGCACAGGTGAGGGCCTGAGTGGGTGCGGTGCGCTGTGTAAAATGCCTCCTTCCCTGTGGTCTCCAGGTCAAGCTGTCCGTGTACTGGGACTACATGAAGGCCATTGGACTTTTTATCTCCTTTCTGAGCATCTTCCTTTTCTTGTGTAACCACGTTGCCGCCCTGGCCTCCAACTATTGGCTCAGCCTCTGGACTGATGACCCCGTCATCAACGGGACCCAGAAGCACACAAAAGTCCGGCTGAGCGTCTATGGAGCCCTGGGCATCTCACAAGGTGGGAGTTGTCCCTTCACACCCTCCCCCACTCCACCTGATTTTGGCACTTGGAACTGCTTCTGTGTCTTGTTAGTGAACTGGACCCCACTTGGCAGGGTATTACAGACCCTCAACGAAGCCAGACCCAGATGAACGGTACCTGACACTCAGTAGACACTCATATTTGTGGACTGAGTGGTTTTTGAATGCTTTGTTTCATGTGGCCCTAAGAGATAGAAGGGAGCTCCAGTGTGCCCATTTTACAGATGAGGAAAATTGAGGAAGAGAGGCTACCGGAGCATTAATGAGCAAGGGCCCTCACCCCTTGGTGCTTCTGCACAGTCTCATTTGTGGGCTTTTTCATGCTCTATGAGGGTGGGAATTCTTAGCGTTTGTAGCATTGGTCCCCAGGGGACATTTGGCAACATCTGGAGATCCTTTTGGTTGTCACAACTTCTGAGTGGGGGTGGGTGCTACTGGCATCTAGAGACCAGGGATATTGCTAAGCATCCTGCAGGCACAGCACAGGTCCCACAACAGAGAATTATCCAGCAGCACTTGTCAATAGTGAGAGGTTGAGAAATGCTGCTGTATACCTTTCCTGTGGTCCCATGAAAGTCCCCAAACACAGCAGCATTAATACTAACAGCATTTACTGAGGACTTACTTAGCCTGCTTCTGTTCTAAACACTTTTATGTGGTTTAACTTGTTTTAGCCTTGCAGCAATCCCGTGAGCTAATATTTTCTGCATTTTAGAGATGCAGAAACTGAGGCCCATAGAGGTTAAGTAAGTTGTCCTAAGTCACACTCTAATATGTGGCAGAGCTGGCATTTGAATGAGACAGCCGGCTCAGAGCCCATGCTCTTCACCACTACAGTACGTGCTCCGTGGCACATTAGCTGTGTGTTTATGTGCTCATAAAAGCTATGTATCTGTATATACACAGGTACATTCAATGTCTGTGAAACAGTGTATAAAGTAAGTGTATACATATTTGACATTTTGAGCACTTTCTGTGCACCAAGCACATTGCTGGATAGGCTCCTTACATTTGACATTGCTAAAAGTATTGTCCCCATGTTACAGATGGGGAAACTGAGGTGTAAAGAAGTTAAGTGACTTTTGGAAGGTCCTATAGCTGGTAGGTGACAGAGACAAGATTTGACAGTGTTGGCTCCAGAGCCTGTCATTTTAGCTCCGCCTCTTGGGTTTCTTCCTTGATTAAGGAGGCCAAGGTAGAAGCCCCTCTATCCCTATGAAATCGCCTCTGCAAAGCATGAGTGTCCTGCTGTGGGCTGTTTGCAGGATGCCTCTTGAACTCTAGGAGATAGCTTTGGAAAAACCCAGAAGAGCAGACATGGGTTTCTTAAATTTCTCAGTCCATTCAACACCCTCATAGGGCAAAGGACTGTAGACTCCAAATTATAATTGAGGGGAGGTGGTGCACAGAGAGGGTGTGGTATTTACCTGGGCTCACACAGCAGCACCTGTTCTGGAGCTGTGCTGTCCTGTAATGGTGGTCACTGGCCACAGGTAGCTGTTTGAATTTCAATTCATTAAAATTAAATAAAAGTAAAAATTCAGTTGTTTTGTGCACTAGCCACATTTCAGGGGCTCAGCAGCCACATGTGGTTCGTGGCTACTACATTGGACAGTACAGATACAGAAGGTTTCCATCATCACAGAAGGTTGCACTGGGCTGGTTGAGAGTAGTATGGCCTATAGACTGAGAGCATGAGCCTGGAGCAGGCTGCCTGGGTTAAACCCCACCTCTGCTTCTGGTTGGCTGAGAATATTGAGGGCGAAGGACTTCACCTGCCTGAGCTTCGGTTTCCTCATCTGTGAAATGGGTAGTGATCTAATTTGTACAGAGTTGTCATAAGGATTAGATACCTGTAAAATTTCAGTACAGTGCATAGCGCATAGTAAGTGCTCAATAAATAATAGCCATTATTATTATTATTATTATTATTATTATTATTATTATTATTATTATTAGCTGGGCACCTAACCCTGCTTTGTCCATATGACCACATGGCCACTCCTCCCAGCCCCCAGCGTGGTCCCTCTCCCACTGTGGAGTTTAACTCGAGAGTGTTTGTAGGTATCGCAGTGTTTGGCTACTCCATGGCAGTGTCCATCGGAGGCATCTTTGCCTCCCGCCGCCTACATCTGGACCTGCTGCATAATGTCCTGTGGTCACCCATGAGCTTCTTCGATCGGACGCCCAGTGGGAACCTGGTGAACCGCTTCTCTAAGGAGATGGACACGGTGGACTCCATGATTCCGCAGGTGATCAAAATGTTCATGGGCTCCCTGTTCAACGTCATTGGCGCCTGTATCATCATCCTGCTGGCCACGCCCGTCGCCGCTGTCGTCATCCCACCCCTGGGCCTCATCTACTTCTTTGTCCAGGTAAGAGGTGGCCTCTTGGGGTCCAGGAGCAGCCCTGCTGTGTATTGGGCTCCCGTGTGAGCCCAGGGCTCCCCCCATCGCACTGTTTCCCTGGTGTGGAGCTGTGGAGGGTTTGCTGGGGGAGCCGTGGGTGTGTTGTCAGTTGCAAATACCTCAGCTGATTGTTTTTAGCTTGGAATAACCAAATGTACTTTTTTCAAATAACCTTTATTTTTGTAGCTGTACGTTATAAAAGGAAAAAAGCTATCACTATAAAGATACTTTTATTATTGAAATTTCTTTAAGAATTTTATGAAATTCTTTAGTTCCCAAGCTCCCTGAAGATCATGGAGATGCAGCTTAAAGAAGATAGGTATTTATTTTTCTCTTGGGATAGAAACATAGAGGTAGACCATTCAGGGCTGGTGTGACAGTCCCTGAGTATGTCAGTATCCCAGACTTCTTGTCTGTATTTCAGAAAGTGAGCCTGAGGAGGCGAACAGGGCAAGGGGCGTATGGTAGCCGAGTCAGCATCACTGGTTTCTTAGGCAACTGCAGCGTAGATAATGTTGCCATTTGACAGATGAGCATGTTGAGGCCCTAATGGCAGAGCTGGCAGTATGAACTCATATCTGTCTGAGTCCAAAGCTTGTGCTGGTAACCACGGGGCGGCCTGTCCCTTCTTACCCCTAAAAGGTTAGCTGCAGCACAGCTGCTGAGGAGGGGGGTGTTGGATGGGAGCCTAACAACTGCAACCCAAAGTAAGGGTAGGGAATTGTGAAGGGCTCCGCCCTCAAACCGCACTGGAGCCTGCTCATGTGGGGCCCTCGCGGGATTCTCGGTCCAGCCAGCCAGTCCCGGACCCACCACACTGTGGCCTAGTGATGGGTGAGCGTGAACAAGGGTGGAATCGGGGAGAACAGGTCCAGTTCCCCGACCCTCATTGTATTCTCTCAACTTGGTGCCAACTTTGGACAGTCATCTGGGTCCCTTCACCAAAAATAGCATCCATGGTCATACCCTGGCTGGAGATGTTCCTGAAAGACCCAATTCAAAAGAAAGAACAGACCAAATGCAGTGTTTGAAGCGGCTCAGATACCTGCCAGTGGCGGGACCTTGAGTGCACCGTGGAGTGAGCGGTTCCACGGCAGAAGCTTAAGTACCTTTAACGGGGATAATTAGGGACACGCTATTGCAACACCACCGATTTTATTTCTAAACAGCAAAGGCAATGAATTCAGCAGAGAGTCCTGTTGAATACACACTGTCATTGTAACTAAGACAAAACCCACAACGCGCCCATGTCGGCAGGACTGGAAAAAAAGGCAAAAAATGAAGACATTGCCTACCTGAGGGTTGGGATTATGGAAGAGTTTTTTGTTCGTTTGTTTTGAATGGTTTTTAGCTAACTATACACTTACTCCTCGGTATACATGCAAAAGAAATGTGAGTCCTGTCAGGGTGGCTCAGTTGATTGGAGCATCATTCCCATACACCAAAAGGTTGTGGGTTCGATTCCTGGTCTGGGCACATACCTAGGTTGTGGGTTCAATTGCCTGTCAAGGCGCTTATGAGAGGCAACTGATGGATATTTCTCTCTCACATTGATGTTTCTCCCCCTCCCCCGCCCCGTGGTGTATTTATACACTAGAAATGACTCAGCAGTAAGAAGGAAGGAGCTGCTGATGCTCGCAGCTGGACGGGTCTCTCAGATTCATCCAGGAAGAAGCTGTGACCTTGGAGGCCCTGTGAGAGCCACCTGTTCTATTGGGTGTTCTCCTTGGAAGGTCTCTGCCCCAAGATGGCCCCGGGCACCTGCTGCAGGGCAGGGAGGCCGTGTCCCTAACCACCCTTGTTCATCTTCTCTGCTCTGCTGTTTATAAAGCAGTTGCATATCCGTTCTATTTTTAGCATCTCTGCAATAGGCACCCTCAGTCTCCCCAGTCCCGTTTGTATAGATGAGGAAACTGAAGCCAGGAGAGCTCGCGTCCTCAGATCCAGCCCAGCATCTGTCTGCAGCTGCTGAAAGCTTCTGGTGGTGATGTGCTGCTGTTCTGTCCCCAGGGGCCGACCAGTCAGCTCTCAGCGCCAGGCCCTGCTGAGTGCATGGGTTAGGGCAGGGGCAGATGTGGGCTTTGCCCACAGGGATGGAGAGAGTCAGGGTTTGAACTGAGTTCTGGTTGTCCTTCAAACCTGTGCCTAAAGTCTCGCTGCTGGGCTTAGAAAACCCCAGCGGTCAGTGGCTTCAGAGAGGCTGCGTGGTTCAGAGGCTGGCACTTTGCAGCCAAGCTGTCTGGGTTCAAATCCCAGCTCTGCCAACTCCTAGCCAGCTATGTGATCTTAGGGAAGAGGTTAGCTGACTTCTTTGGGCCTTAATTTACTGATGGTGAGAAAGGAACGAACACCTCAGAGGTTTGTGGTGAGTATTAAATGAGCTGATATTTGTGAAAGTACTTAAAACAGTGCCAAGGAGGGTGCGCTCCACGTAAGTGGTAGCTACTGTTACTGTCATCACTGCCATTGTTGTTGTTGGCTCTGTGCCTGCATTTCACCAGGTGAGTGGAGACACCTGCTAAGAGCAGCCCAGCTCCAGCATTTTGCCTCCTGGAAGCATCATTTGTATCCAGACTTCCTCCAGCACAGCCCAGGAGGCTGGGATGAGGGCAGCCACACTGACCCCCCTGTCCATCCTGTCCTCCCAGAGGTTCTACGTGGCCTCCTCCCGGCAGCTGAAGCGCCTGGAATCCGTCAGCCGCTCCCCGGTTTACTCCCACTTCAACGAGACCTTGCTGGGGGTCAGTGTCATCCGGGCCTTTGCAGAACAGGATCGCTTCATCCGCCAGAGCGACCTGAAGGTAGACGAGAACCAGAAGGCCTATTACCCCAGCATCGTGGCCAACAGGTGGGTGCCCTGGGCCCGCCCCCGGAGGGGCGTGGGAAGCTGCTTTAGTTCCTGGAGGATGGGGTGAAGCCAAACGCAGATCTTCCCAGAGAGAATCATTCGACTTGGTAAGGACAGAATAACCATTAGAAGCAGACAGGGCACGGTGAGCACCCAGCACCCCAGGGCATTAAGTGCAGGGACAGAGAGTTCTTCTGAGGTCAGAAAATACTACAGAGCTTGTCCTTTGGCTGTTGTCCTGGGGCTGTGAGATCATCATTGGTGGGCAGACTTAGCTATTGAGTATTTTCCTACCCTAGTTCCCAGCTAAAGGGTGATCGCTGCCCCAACCCCATCCCCCATGATGTGTATCAGAAGCAAATTACTAATATTAGCTTGAACCATGTGAAATTGCCATTTAGGGTATCGAGAATGGTTGAATAGCATTAATCAAAAAAAAGGGAAAGAAGTTTGCTAATTTTTTTATCATTAAATTATTTTCGGAGCAGAAGGGAGAGGGGGAGAGAAAGAGAAACACTGATGTAAGAGCATAATATCGGGCCTCCTCCTGTACACCCCCTACCGAGCCCACAGCCCAGGCATGTACCCTGACCTGGAATCAAACTGGCAACCTTTCGGTGTACAGGACAACGCCCAACCAACTGAGCCACAACAGGCCAGGGCAAAGTTTGCTGATTATTGACTGAATTTAGATAAGTGATTTATCTCTGAAATATCCTCCTCACTTGGTTACACCGTGACGTATTTCTTGAGATGTGGGGTAGAAAATGCTGGGGAGGGGTGCCAGCATCCTGGAAGTGACCCGTCAAAACCAGCCCCCAGCCCATCACGCACAGCAGGATCCTATAGTGTAAGACTGGGTAGGAGACATGAGTTACTAGAGACTTTGCCTTCCCTTGCAGAAGTTTTAGGGAGTTTGTCAAAATGTGGGTCTGTCTGTGGGAGTCGCTTACCCCCATGGAGATCAGTCACATGGACCTTAAGGGCTGTAGTGGATAAAAGGTTAACCCATCTCCCTAGACTGCTTTACATTTTTGAAACATTAAAACCATATTCCTAATGCTGTGTGATATCTTATGAAAGTTATCTTTAAACCATTAAAATATCTGTTTATATTTTAAAAGGTAAAATAACATTTTAATGTTTCTGAGATGAGGATGATCTGGGTCTGGGAACACTTATAGCTACATTGAAAATAGTGTTGTTATTTTCTCACTCCCCCTCCCTGCCAAGAGAAGGTTATTTAATTTTATTTTTTATCTTTTTAAAATATGTCTTTATTGATTTCAGAGAGAGGAAGGGAGAGAGAGAGAGAGAGAGAGAGAGATAGAAACATCAATGATTAGAGTCATTGATCAGCTGCCTTCTGTACGCCCCCAACCTGGGATCGAGCCTGCAACCTGGGCATGTGCCCTGACGGGGAATTGAACTGCAGTCTCCTGGATCCTAGGTCGATGCTCAACCACTGAGCCACGCCTGGCTGGGCAAGAGAACGTTATTTTAAATCAGTGGTGCCTTACAGTTGATGACTTCTTAGTATTTATTAATTTTTCAGGACATCTTTTCTTAAAAATGCACACATGGCTGAATTTTAAAGGTTTCAATGAGAAAAAAGTTGGTTCTTAAAAAAGCAAGCTTAATTTTCCTGGGAAGATTGCTTCCAGAGAACTGTCTTAATCCCTGGGGTTGCCAGATGAGTGAGGATTTACTGGAATTGTGTCCCTTTGGCCTTCCTTTCCCATGTGTCTTAGGAGCAGGGCAGAGAAGGCCTGTTTCAGAACTATCAGGGATTATTTCAGTTAGTGAAGTGCCCCCCCAACCTTCAGAACCTGAAACCAAGTCTCTGAAAATGCTGACTCTGTGCATGTGCATCTGTCCATCCATCTGCCTGTATGTCTCATGTAGGTGGCTGGCTGTGCGGCTGGAGTGTGTGGGCAACTGCATTGTCCTATGTGCAGCCCTGTTTGCAGTGATCTCCCGGGACAGCCTCAGCGCTGGCCTGGTGGGCCTCTCAGTGTCTTACTCATTGCAGGTAAGAGGAGACTCTCTTGCTGGATTTTCCATTCCTCTTAATGGAGAAGCCACTTATGTTTGCTTTGGGCCACTGTAGGAGTGTGGGAGAGGAAAGGGGCTGAGTGGAGTTTGAGGAACAGGTCTATAGTCCATTGACTAGAACAGGAGGGAAATTAGACATGTGATCTGGATGCCTCCAACTACAAGAGAAATGGTTTTAGCACTATAAATTTCCCTCGAAGTGGTGCTTTAGCTGCATCTCCCAAACTTTGATGCATTGTGTTTTTCTGTTATTATCTAGTTCAAAATACTTTCTCATTTCCTTTCTGACTACCAATGTGGCCCATGGGTGATTTTGAAATTTGCTTGCTTAAGAGATGCAGTGGAGCAAGTATGGGTGAAGGCTCTGTGTGGGGTTGCTGTTTTCTGTACCTTTTTAATCTGAAGTATTTCATAACTCATAATTACTTCCTCAAAATAAAGCAACTCAGGCTCACTTGAGAAGCTCCATGTGACTCTTCCACTCACAGGTCACCACTTACTTGAACTGGCTTGTTCGGATGTCGTCGGAGATGGAGACCAACATTGTGGCTGTGGAAAGACTCAAGGAATATTCAGAAACTGAGAAGGAGGTAGAGCAAGCCCCTGCCCTGACCTCTTAGCTTTGATCTTCAGTGTGGCTTTACTCAAAAGAACTCTCTGAGCCAAACCATGTGTGCCTGCCACAGGCAACCTCTGTCTATTATCTGTTACGTATTTTTATTGGTAACTTCTTTTATAGGAAATGAGACTAGTTTCTTCTTTTAGTAAGTTTTAAAATTAAGTACAAATGAGTTGATTAAACGTATTCAAAGTCAATAACAAGAATCAGCACACGGATATTATAAAAATCATATGCTAGTAGGAATTGACTCAAGTTTGGGAAACCCTGCAGTTATTGTTTATGTAGATGGAGAAAAGGTAGCCTAGGGAGAGATGATGGCTGATTGAAGGTCATATGTGGTCGGTAGAACCCAAGTCTCCAGGCTTCCGTGCCACATTGCCCCTAATAACTGCCTTACTCTGTCTACACACCACCACCAATAGTAGTAGGGATTATAATGACAATAACAGTAATGCCTGGTGATACTACCATCTCCATCACCACTAGTAATAATAATAGGGACATATATTGTGCCCTTGTGGAGGTGTCAGGCCCTGTCCTAAACATTTCACATAGAGTAATTTATATATCCTTTATATAGCCTTATAACTCACATTCTATTATTATTTCCATTTTATAGGTGAGGAAACAGACACAGAGAGGCTCAGTTACTTGCCTAAGATCACATGGCTGGTAAATGGCAGACCCAGGATATGGGTCTGTGCGATTGTGCCACACTATCTCCCAAGAAAATGCCCCTTGGGAATGAGACCAAGGCTGCCCAGTTAAACTCTATCTTAAAGGATTTGCAAAGGTGACCTGTGACCCCAGTCTTTTAATGCTCTGAGATGGTAAACTGGTTCCATTTTATCGGAGAGCATCTGCCAAAGAAATGATGAACCAGGTCCCATTTCATCAGAGGCATCAGCCAGAATGGTGTGAGTGACCCCTGTGGAAATAAGAGTGTATTACACCAGGACTTTCCTACCCAACACTGAATTTATGTATTTATGTATTTATTTTTTTAATCCTCACCTGAGGTTATCTTTGTTTGTTTGTTTGTTTTATTTTTAGAAGGAGGGGAAGAGGAAGGGGGAGAGAGAGAGAAACATCGATTGGTTTCCTCCTGCATGTGCCCTGACTGGGGATCCAGCCCACAACCTAGGTATGTGCCCTGACCAGGAACCTAACCCACAACCTTTTGTTGTGTGAGATGATGCTCCAACCAACTGAGCCACCTGGCCAGGGCTGAATTTATTTTTTTTAAAAAGCTTTAATATGTAATTCACTTGCCATGCAGTTCATCCACTTAAAGTGTGAAGTTCAATTTATTTTACAAAAATATTTTACATGCATTTATTTTTATATTTTTAGAATAAGAACATATTTGAAAAATACAAGAGAAAGTAAAGATCATCCAGAGTCCTACCACTATTATACATATTTATTCGTTGTTTATATATTATATATATATTTATAGATAGAAAGCTCCACCCACTTTTTTTCAGTTGCCCCTGTTTTTATACCATGACCCTTTCATTTATATACATAAATTATAAAAGGNATATACATATTTATTCGTTGTTTATATATTATTTATATATTTATAGATAGAAAGCTCCACCCACTTTTTTTCAGTTGCTCCTGTTTTTATACCATGACCCTTTCATTTATATACATAAATTATAAAAGGGAAATATTCCTCTCTTTCCCCAAAGATAGCCCCGAGGCTGGCCTAGAGCATAGCCAGTTGTAAATCTCAGGAAATGCTGAACTGGACTAAGAAACTTTTCAGAAAAAGGGGCTGTGTGACCCGGGGCACAAGTTATTACCCTCTCTGTGTCTCAGTTTCCTTGTGTGTAAACGGGATAATGAAAGGACCTCACTTACGGGGCTGTAGTGGGGATTAAGTGAGATAATGTGATAGAATGATGTTTAAGTGTTAGCTGCCGCTTTTATTGTTGCACTCCAGACCTAGAAGGCAGGCAACCTTGTTTTGGTTCAGAAAAGACCACTTTGATTCAGTCCATAGATTTTATTGAGCACCTACTATGTGCTCTGCGCCCTGGGATAGAACAGTAGATGAATAATAAAGAACCTGTCCTCATAGAGTGGATATTCGAGTGGGCGTGGGTGACAGAATAAAGGAATAAATATGTGCTTAAAATGGTGAGTTCTGTGAAGGAGACTGAAGCCAGGGAGAGCAGAGAGGGGCACAGGGCCAGGAGGGTGGTCAGAATCGACCTGAGATCTGCAGGAGGTGGGGTAGCAGGTTGAATAGGTAGCCTGGGGAAGAGCGTTCCAGGCGAGGAAGCTGCAGGTGCAAAGGTCTGGAGGAATCACCCCGAAGTCAGTGTGGGGAGCAGAGTGAACGAGAGAGAGGGTGGTGAGGTCAGAGGGGTTGTGGAGGCCGGCTCACATCGAACCTTGGGGCCCACAAGAGGGACCTAAAATTCCTATTGGCCCCCCTCTTCCCCCACCCACCGCAGGCTCCCTGGCGAATCGAGGAGATGGCTCCGTCCAGCTCCTGGCCCCAGGTGGGCCGGGTGGAGTTCCGGGACTACAGTCTGCGTTACCGAGAGGACCTGGACTTGGTTCTCAAGCACATCAACATCACCATCGATGGAGGGGAAAAGGTGGGTGCTCATTGTTCTCCCCCCTTCCCAGTCCGCACAGGTGTGATCAGGCAGATGAAACCAGCTGTCACTTCCCCAGTCCACCACAGCCCCATGACATAGGGTGAGTGGCCTTCTTTTGGAAGGGCTTGTGGAAGTAAAAGCTGCTCGGTGTCCGACAGGGTTGCAGACTAGTAGCCTGAGGGCCAGAGGAGGCCCACAGATAGGTTTTGAAAAAATCCTGAATAAGTTACAAATATTGAAAAATCTGGAACTTTTTTTTTAATAAAAATCAGTTTTCTGCTTTTCTCAAAAGATCACAACATGTAGCAACACTGGGCTCATACTCCCCACCTGGCTCTTGTCAGACAAGATGTGAGCCTCCGTCTCTCCCACGCTGTTCAGGTGCCTGCTTAAACCTCATAGACATGGAGTTTGGGATCTCCNGAAGGTGTGAGCCTCCGTCTCTCCCACGCTGTTCAGGTGCCTGCTTAAACCTCATAGACATGGAGTTTGGGATCTCCAGGGTAGAAGGATGTCACCATCACTGCTAGGGATGGCCCAAGGGACATGTGAAATTGTCGGAATTTTGGAACATAGCCTTGGAAGCCTTTCCTGGAAGACGTTCTTCCCCTGAGACCCTCAGATCATCCTCAGGATGAGGCTACAGGCCTTCCTGGCCATTTTCCAGGGGACTGCTTCTTTCATCTCTGAACATACCGACTTGTTGAACTGTCCCTTCTGCCAGGCTCAGAATGTACTGTTCCCATGAGATAAGTTCTCTAACTTCCAGCAAGGGAAGAACAGAGTGGGTGCTGTTCTCACCAAGGCTTTATGGCTTGTGTTGTATCATGAGGCTCTGCTCTGTGATGTCGCTGGTAGGGATAGAGGAAGCCCACCTCTCAAGGGCCCAGATGAAAGGGAGAGTTGTATTTGGATGTCAGGAACATTCATCATTGGCCATTACATGGGAGCCCAGTTCCCTCAAGAGAGGATAAGTGGAGACCAGGTCACATCCATAACCCCTTTTGGTCACGCAGCTGGGAGGGAGAGGGGGTGTGTAGGGGGTTCTCATTGAATCTTTGAGCTGTTTCAACAGCTCAGGTTGGGAAACTCATCAACAAAGAATTGGAAAAAACAGTGTGAAGTAATCAAGTAATAACTTGATTATTACTTAATATTATCTTGATTATTACTTAATATTTAAAATCCCTCTTGTCTGATGCCTGGGTCTTTGGAGGTTTCTAGTAGTTTATAAAGAAAGCTAATTATAATTTTAACCTATATGAAGAACTGGCAAAGAGAAGGGCGTCTTTCTTGACCTTTGGTCAAATAACCCCTAAAGGAGCATTTCTTGGAAGCTGCTCAGGGAGAGGGCTGTGGTGGGAGTTGGGTCGACCAGATGACTGGACTGCTCTGGGGCAGATATTTGAGGTGAGGGCACTCTGGGGTGGGAGGTATCCCCCAGATAGCATTCTCACCTCATGCCGGGTCCTTCCTGTCCCACAGGTTGGCATCGTGGGGCGGACAGGAGCTGGGAAGTCCTCCCTGACCCTGGGCTTGTTTCGGATCAAGGAGTGTGCCGAGGGAGAGATCATCATCGACAACGTCAACATCGCCAAGATCGGCCTGCACGATCTCCGCTTCAAGATCACCATCATCCCCCAGGTGCGGTCTGTGTGAGGCTGCAGGGGTGCACTCACTGGTCCCTCCGAAAGCAATGCATGTATATTTTCAATGTACAAATATACATCTGTTCCTACTTTATTACTTTTATTAAAATTGTGCTATGTTTCTTCTCCACTGAATCTCCTCTGAGCGTATAAATAACAATGGGAATTAACCAGGTATCATCTCTTCACTTCTGCCACCCAGAGCACCTAACAGGATCCAGTAAGACACTGGCTTCTTGGCTGGCTATCAGTCAGGACAAGACTAACCCTTCCAAGAGCTAAATGAAAAATAATGATTTTCTAGACTGATTCCTTGGGGTGCTGATTCCCTAATATGTTGCTTTTTAGTGTTATTTTCCCTACAGTTTCTTCTAAGATTCTTTTTTGAAGCCAGAGGATAGGGAGGAATGCACAGTACTTTATGATTCAGAATTACCATGTTGCATCTCCTTCTTAGAAGGTTCCTGACACATTTGCATATTGAAGGCTTGGAAGTCTTGCAAAAAAAAGTAATCTATTTTATTTCACCTAACCCAGAGATTTCCAGATTATTTTTTCATTATTACTATCTCCAGAAATAGTGATTCTGAGAGTCTCTGGTGCCCCATCCTGAACAATTCTGGCAAGAACTCTCTATGTCCCACCTCTTTGCCCATCCATGTCGAGTTGATGTGAGCCTCACACACTGTCTGCTGTCTTCTGTCTGAACAGGACCCCGTTTTGTTTTCGGGTTCTCTCCGCATGAACCTGGACCCATTCAGCCAGTACTCGGATGAAGAGGTCTGGACGTCACTGGAGCTGGCTCACCTGAAGAACTTTGTGTCAGCCCTCCCTGACAAGCTGAATCATGAGTGTGCAGAAGGCGGGGAGAACCTGAGGTGGGTTGGTTTGGTGGGGGTGGGACGGGGTCCCCTCAGCTTCACCTCGGTCAGAGTGTTTGAAGATTCTGTCCTTTTGCATCTGTGTCAGATGCAGGTTTGAGTCCCAGCTCTGCCACAGACGAGTCTTTTGTTTCTTGGGGGCTCAGTTTCAGTATCTATATAATGGGTTTTAGCCAGGTTTTGTGGCTGGGGGTCTTCTTCTATTGGCTGATCTGATTGGCCTCCAGTGGGGCAATTAGGGTCTGCTCCACATGTCCCTCATCCTTCACAGACCAGCCCAGGCATGTTGTCATAGTGATGGCAGAGGTGTAAGAGTTCAAACCCTGGCATGCATTCCCATGTCAGGCTTCTGCCAGCCTTATGTTTGCCAGCACCCCATTGGCCAAAGCAAGCCACATGGTTAAGTCCACAGTTCAGTTGTGAGGGCCTGGATATGGGCCCCTTTTGCTATCTGTCACACTACCCACAAAGAACTGGTCAAATATTTTGGATATTATTCTTCGTCCTGTCTTGAGAGTGATTCTGAGCCTGCTTCTAGCTCAGCAGGAAGAACATTCTGATCGATGAGCGATGCCTGCCAGAGGCACAGATGTGGGAGTGGACACACTCTCCTGGTCTAAGCAACACCAAGTGTCTCTTCTCCCTTCTCCCAGCTCAGGCCAGGGCTAAGGGTCAGGGGTTATTTTTAACACTCTGTCTCCTGGTCTTTTTCTCCTGGTCAAGTGTTGGGCAGCGCCAGCTTGTTTGCCTGGCCCGAGCCCTGCTGAGGAAGACGAAGATCCTTGTGCTGGATGAGGCCACGGCGGCCGTGGACCTGGAAACAGATGATCTCATTCAGTCCACCATCCGGACGCAATTTGACGATTGTACAGTCCTCACCATCGCTCACCGTCTCAACACCATCATGGACTACACAAGGTGAAGCTCGTGGCACAGAAGGCCTCCAGGCCTTGGTGTTCTCCCCACTCATTCATTCATTCATTCATTCATTCATTCATTCATTCATTCATTCATTCAGCATGATAGCCCCAGTTGGTGGGACCTCTCTCTATCCTCGGTAGTACCAGGTGTTTTTGACATCACTCAATCGTTTACTCAGNATAGCCCCAGTTGGTGGGCCCTCTCTCTATCCTGGGTAGTACCAGGTGTTTTTGACATCACTCAATCGTTTACTCAGTCAGCACATGTGGAATGCCTGCCACAAAGCCGGCCCTGTTCCAGGCACTGGGAACTCAGCAGGAAGTTCAGGCAAGGAGCCTGCCTAAGGGACCTTATAGATTAGTTGGGGACTGGGTGCAGAGACAGCCAATAAACACAGCACATTGTTTAAATAAAAGCAAATTGTGCTGGAAAGGAAATAGAGTAGGTGATAGCAAGTGCCTTGTGTAGTATCACAGGACTTTGACATTGACTAGAACCAGGGATTGAGAAGGGGTGACCAGTTGGAAGGCTACTGCAGCAGCCCTCTAACAGAGGCTTTAGGGACCTGACCCAACGCAGGGACTTGCCTAGATGGGCTCTTGGGGGCATGAGGTGCCAACGCATTCCCTACCACTCATGCTTGCGTCCCCTCCCCTTGCAGGGTGATCGTCCTGGACAGAGGAGAAATCCGAGAATGTGGCCCCCCCTCTGAGCTCCTGCAGCAGAGAGGCCTGTTCTACAGCATGGCCAGAGATGCTGGCCTGGTGTAAGCCCTGGAGCTGGTGCATCTGGTTTGACCTGCAGGGATCACAGACTAGTGTCCCAGGATGAGTCAGCCTCTTTGGGAACCCAAGCCTCCCATGTACTGAAACCAAAAAAGAAAAATACCAAACCCAACAAAGCAAAACACACACAAAGGCGCCATCACCTGGTCCGCTGCCTGGAATTGGCTATGCAGAAACAGGAGAGACACAGATGCAGCACACCAAAGCCATGCACACCCTTGCCTCTGCTACCCACACAGGATGCACAGGCGTCCCACACCCCTGGTTGCGTCTGCTCGTGCTCTTGGTGCTCTGCAGGGAAGCTTGGCACCCAAACTTCTCGAGAAATTGGTTGCGTAAAATATGCTAGTGACCAAATCCAGCCAACTGCCTCAAATCTCTTTAGCCAAAGTTTGGAATTCCAACTCTTTGGCCCCCGGCTGCTGGGCCAGCACCTCTAACAACATCCTTGTCTGGCTCCACCCAGAATGATTCGTTTACTTGGGGCTGTAATTTGGAGGTGAGGGGCCTGGTGAAGATCATCTTCACCCTTGGGCAGTGTCCTGAAGGTCCTCTTACTAATCATCCGGTCTTCCAGGCACTCTGACCCTGGGAGCCAACGTCCCAGCACTGCCTGCACCCAGAGGCAGCTTTGTCACCTGCACACTTCTTAGTGACAAGACTTGGTTGGACTTACAGGGGACCTGGACCTGGAACTCCAGGTCTGGGGGATCCTCTCTCAATGCCGACTTCCCAAACTGGTTGCTCACCTCCTTACCAGTCTGGTTTTGTCTTTGCTTTTCCTCCTGCCTCTTTTTGCCCATTGCTAGAATGGATTACCTCTAGGTACCTGGAAGAGGTCTGCACATGGTTAGGAGGCACTCAAAGCCAAGAGCACTGGGCACCTCCAAGTATGGCCAGTTGGTACTGAAAAGAGCTCTGTTGAGTCTCCTCGTTTTTAGATTCCAGTTTCTCACCCTTGGCCTCTGGTTAGCTGTCAAAGGTGGCAGTGTGGAGAACTTGACATTTAGTTCTGAGCATCTTCCAGGACAAGAGAAGAACCCATTCATGAATATCAGTGATTTCTTTTCCTTTTTTTCTTTTTTTTTTTTAAGTACTGCTTGCAGGAGAAAAACTCTCTCAACTTGAATTTCTTGGGAGGGCGTGTTGGGCTGGGGAGCAGCACTCCCAGGGAATAGCCAAGGTGGCCCGGCGTCTTGACAGTGGGTCTGCGTGTTCTTGGAAGAAGACAGCAGAGTGGAGACCTTTAGGTCTCGCAATTGGAGACCAAAGGAAGACCCAAAAAGCGGAAAGGTCACTGCTGCCCCAAGATTCATACTTGCTGACTTCAAACCCAGAGAAGCATCTTTCTTCCTCTTGGTGGAAATATATATTTATTTTTTGTAAGTTATACCATTCTTTCACATTAGATAAACCAAGTTTTTCTTGGGGATCATTTTGTAATGACTTACACTGGAAATGAGAACATTTACAAGCAATTTGCAGTAAAAAATATTTTATTTCTTTCTAAATGATGATTCCTTTTCTTTGGGGCATTAGCATGGGTTTTGGCCATCTCCTCTGGGAGTCAGCGTGGGGCTCCCCTCTTGTCTGCTTTTGTTCTTTCCTTTGGGCAAACATGCCATCTCTGGTGGGGACTCTTGTTGGAGATGGGAGCCTAGAGGTTAAGAATTGGGTGGGGTTTAGTGGGGAGTCAGCGTGGCATAGTGGACAGAGCCTGGGCTGAGTCCTGCCCTTGTCATTAGTTGGCTGTGTGACCCTGGTCAAGTCACTTAGTTTCTGTGCTTCCGTTGCCTCGTCTATAAAATGGAGCTGACCTTACCTGCGCCGATGGGATTGTTGTGAAGATGAGCAGTGATGTGTGTGCTCCACCTGTGGCCCAGGTTGGGTTCTAAGACACCCACAAGGTAACACGTGGCCAAAATTACCCTTGAAAATCCCGTTGTATTAGGAAAGGCCAGGCGAGGCCTTGCTGAAGCCATAAACTTGGAGAATGAACACAAGGGTTTTGTTTCTCCCTCATACACTTCTTGATGAGGGTCAGTGCCTCTGCAGGGCCACTGCCTTCCATGCGACAATAGAGATCCGGACCGTTCTAGTCTTATGACATCGCCTCTCAGGAGCTGGCTTCCAGGTCACCGTAGCAGGGGAGGGGAGACTGTGGATGACACACACCCAACTCTTGAGTCTCAATCCAGAGATGAAGTAAATCCATTCCACTAACAGCCTGTTGGCCACAGCAAACCACAAAGGAAGCTGGAAATGTAGGGGTGCATAGGGAAGAGAAGTCTCTCTTCTGCAAGTTCATGCGGTTTCTGAATTTGGGGGAGTTGGGTTTCTTGGTTTGAATTGGGTGAGTCTGGATAGTGAGGAAAGCCTGTACTGGGAAGCACGCCACTTGTGCTGCACCCAAAGCCACACGCCAAGTTCACGTGCAGACGGAGCGTCTGTGCGCCATGTTCCCTCTGACATGGCTGTCCTGGACGGAAGTCATTGCCTTGCAAGAGGGACAGAAATGTGAAGGTGCTGGTGCTGGTGTGGGTGAGGTGGGGTGGGGTGGTGGAAGAAGCTAGTGAGGCTGTTACCATTAAAATGGGTAGTATTTGGATGGCCATGTGGAGTTAGTTTTGAATGTGAGCTACATTTTTATCTCAAGCTGACCCTGAGTCCTTCACAGTGTGTGACCCAGTGAGCACCTGTGGGGGTGGAGGGCATGATGTGGGACAGGGAGAAATCCTGGGGCTGGGTTACATTTCGGTCTCTGTGAAAGGCACAGTCATCATTGACCCCGAAGATGGTGGAGCTAGACCCTGGTGGGGCTGCTCCAGGTAAGCGCGTTAGTGCCATGGGAGGAGCAGGGGGGGCAGTGAGCACCTGAGGGCCAGCCCTGGGCTCAGCAGCGCATCGCTTTCTCACGGCCAGAGCTGCTTGTCCCTTTTTATTCTCACCCTATGTCGGGTCCTGCGGCAAGTTTTACTGACTTCCAGGATCAGACCAAAACATGCAGGATCTGACTACCTCTCATTCCTCCCATTGCTGCCACACTGGTCTCTTGTGTGTCCGCAACAGCCGACTCAGTGGTCTCCTGCCTCTGCCCCTGGCTAACCCCTTCCTCCACACTCAGCCTGTTCTCCACCCAGCAGCCATAGCGATCCGGTGAAAGCACACGTCACAACCCTCCTGTGTCCCCATCCAGGGACAGCAGCCAGCCTGGCCTCAAGGCCCTGCACAACCTGGCTTCCTGCGACCTCTGCCCTCTCAGCTGGCCCCTCCGGCCACCACTCGGTCCGATCCAGCCACACACACCTCTGCCCTTCTAATGTGTTGAGCACAGTCCTGCCTCAGGGTCCTCCCACTTCCCCCAGATGTCAGCATTGCTTGCTCCACTATTTGATGATGACAACTCCGTGAGGGCAGGGCATTAATCTGTTTACTCTTTGCTGAATCCCCCCTCTGAGCACGGCACAGAGCGTGCACTCTGACTGCATTCTTAGAGCCAGGACCGAGCCCTATGTGCCAGACCCTGGGACAGGGGTGACGTCACTGGGGCTCTAGAACTTTTAGGAGCTGCGGTTTCCTCCTTGGTAACTGGGATCAGAGTGTTCACCTGGCCAGGTAGTTGTGAGGATGAAAACAGATCGGGGGAAGCACCCAGCACCATGCCTTAGCCCTTAGGACACTTTCCAACGTAGTGATGCCATTCACTCTCATTTTCTTGTCTGTCCATCTATCCGTCCATCCGTTCATCCACTCAGTCAAGCAGTTGGCATTTATTGAATCATCCTACATGCTCTGCACTGTGCTGGGTGCTGGGAAAAACACAGTGAACACGCACAAATCCCCTGGCTCGATAAATAATTGAAATCCTTTCCTTCTCATTTGATGGGATCTTAGAAATTCCAGTTTTTATCAGTGAGCTGGTGTAGAACTAAAAAGCTGTGTGAGAGGCAGCGTGGCACACTGGTTAGGACATGCTCTGGAGCCTGGCCACCTGGTTCAGTCCCTACTTACCTCCCAGTTTTCTCATCTGTAAAAGGGGCCTAATGATAGTACTTTCCTCATCAAAGCATCCTAGTAAGGTGCGGAATGATAGTACCTTCCTCCGATATGAGGATTACCTGAAAGGCTGTGGCGGGCATTAGAGCAGGGCTTCGTACATGTTTATAGTGACCAGCGGGACACGGGTGAGGCTAAGGACCTACTGAGAGGCACCGGCCAGGGACGTCTGTATGTGGCTTTCCTGGGTCTGTGTTTCACCTGCCAGCCAGGCTCTGCTGGCAGGAGCCATGGCAGGGGGATTAGTGGCCTGGATGGCATGCAGGCTGGTCTCCATGGAGCAGTGGTGTGGGCCAGCAGCAGCCTTGTGGGCACTGCTGGCTCTTGAGGCCACACTTTGTTCCCTGGCAAACCATCTCCCTCCATGAAAGGGGCTGTCGTGACCCTGAAGTGGTCCCAGGTGAGTTTGCCAAATATGCAGCTGCTGCCACCTCTGCCTGTGGTTGCTCTGCCGGGATAGCCGGTGGCTCAGCTCCCAGCAGAGCAACGAGAAGGGCTGCATCTGGTCTCTTTCCGTGCTTTCGAATTGGACAACCCCTAGGCGATAACTCGGGCTTTGGTATTAGATAGCCCCAGGGGCAGGCACCCACTCTGTCACTTACTAACTGGGTGACCTTTGCAGGTCATGTCAACTGAGCCTCGGTTTCCTCATCAGCAAAATGGAGCTAGTAATTGCCCGTGATGATGGGGCCAGCACTTTGTAAGCGTGACGGTGGACCGGCAAGGGATGCAGACGGCCTACCCCAATTTGAAGTCATCAAAATGTGCTTCTGGCCACATCTTGGCAAAGGGAGGTAGAAGCTGCAGTTAAACTGGGATTAGTCTGGGCTGGAAGCCTAATGTTGGGGAGTTCCATTAGAAAGTCCCCATGACCTGACCAAGACAGAGCAGGCACAGGCCCCTCCTGAAAACCAACACAGCCATGGCCCCAGTTAGCCCAGTGACTCTCAACAGGGTGACTTTGATTACCCTCCCCACCACCTCTCCAGGACATCTGGCAACGTCTGGAGATATTTTTGTCACAACTGGAGGTAAGAGTGCTACTGACATCTAGTAAGTGGAGGCCAGGGATGCTGCTAGACATCCTACAAAGCACAGGACAGCCCCATGGCAGAGAATTATCTGCCCCACGTCGGTAGTGACAAGGTTAAAAAATCCCGGTGTATAAACCCCTCTCGCTACCCCACAGAGGCCCTCAGATACAACGGTAGTGATAATATTGAACGTTTATTGAGCACTTACTCTGTGCCCAGCTGGCTCTGAACATGTTTCCAGGTAGTAACTTACTCTATCCCTGCAGCAATGCCATGAGGTCAATGAAGATCCTGCGTTGTCTCGTTTCTCACGCTGCCCTTTACAGTTAGTTGGCAGACCTCAGGTTTGGCTACTTGAGACTTGAGTCCCCTTTCCTGGTGCCTGAAGCTGGTTGTATGAGCACCACAGTAGAAGGCCGACGACTGTGAGAAGCAGGCCTGAGCAGTGTGCGCTGTGCCCTGCCCTTCCTGAAGGCAAGCGCTGGCCCCTCACCACCCTGACCTCTGACCTCCAGCAGCAACTCCCACACGGCCCCCTCAGGGGCTGCAGTGTGGACAGAAATGCCCTGGGTGCCTGACTGCTTCTGGGGCTCCCCCAGGAAGCTGGAATTTGGTCTTTAACAAACAAACGTATGACGTGCCAAGTCCCAAGCAGAGTCTCTTGGCGGGGGCCAAGAAGTTCTGGCCCCTCTCCTCTCTCCTTTGGAACTGAACCTGCGCAGCGGTGTGTGCTCGTGCCTGGAGGGGCCCCTTCTTGGTGTGGGTTGTGGCCTGTGTGTCCAATTCAGACAAGATGCTCCTTGGAGCTCATGTACCAGGGTGAGAGGAGCAGCAGGAGGCATGGAGCTCAGTCCCAGTGCATGTTGGAATCATATGGGGAGCTTTAAAAATATACAGTATACAGAAATGGAGAACACATCGGGTTGTGGGGCGGGAGGGAGTGGGCATGGTAACAAGATGGCAACCCCCGTGTCGTGGTGATGGATGCAGCCTCTACGTGTGACACGGTTGTGCAGAAGTTACAGAGTACAAGTACAGTGGGAAATCTGAGCAAGCTTGGTGCATTGTACCAATGTCAATATCTACTAACATTTTTCAAGGTCTTACTATTGGGGGAAACAGGGAAAAGGGTGCCCGGGCATTCTGTGGATTATTTCTTATAAATTCTTATCAATCTACACTCATCTCAAAATAAAAGGGTTAGTCTGGGAAAGTACACACACCATTGCCGCGGCCCCAGGGATAATGATTTCACTGGTCTGCGGTGGAGCCTGGGTGTGGGCAGGTCTTGAGGTCCCCGGGTGAGTCCAATGGGCAGCCAGGGCTGAGAGCCACTGTCGGCTTTGGCTCCAGGATGGACAAGGCTGGACGGGCTCTGGTCAGGCCAACCTTGGGGGTTGCTGCATCCTCCTGGGTCTGTG